TTTTTTTTTTGTTGAAGCATTTGCTGTGCCGAAAACTTGCTCCAATAGCCAAACGACGAACAAGATGCTTCAGAGCATATTTCAAGTTCAAATCGAACATTATTTCAATTGTCTTCAAGTGGCTGGCGTTCTTCAAATTTTTGCGTATTTCACATTTTCTATGCGCTGACGGTCATTGTCCAAAACGGATTTAGAGTTTATTTTAATATCTATTGTTACTTTTTATTTATTTGTTTGTTTGCAAAAATCATCAATTGTATTATACGTAATATTATTTCCTTTATACTACATCTTCGGCTATTCGCTTCCACTCAAGTATACAATTTTACATAAATATGCTTAACAATTGAACGCTTGGCGCCGTAAATGCCTTTAACACCATTCAAGTCAGTCATTCAGCTAATGCTATGGATCAACTGTTTAGCATTTAACCACTACACAAACATATGACTTTTTTGAGACTGAAATTTTGTAAAAAAGAAACAAAATAAATGGGGTATGTTTCCTTGGAATTCTACCGGAAGTTTGAAATCCCGCAGGCGGTAAATTAAATGTGTGCATTCCGCTAATAGCATTAAGTTGAACAATTCGAGACCTGTAAATATTTTTGATACACATTTTTGCAACTGAGCAAAAGTCTAACGTCTGTGCCTTAAGTTTTGACACAAAATGAATCGTCCATGTTCGAGGGGTTTTCTGTTTTCGATACAAGTAGTAGATTGTTATCAGTGATGTAATCCGAGCATGATTGTTTTCAATGACACGCTATGGGCAGTAAACTTGGACACGTAATTTTTTTTTAAATTGTCTGATGGGTGGATTGACTAAAGTTGTTGGTTTTAGTAGACGACCATACTACTGTTTACTTTCCTATTGTTTACACAAACAAATGAGATGCCTTTTAACTTCTGACGAGCTCAACAACATTTCTCAGTCCATGAGCAGAAACGATGTATACATATTTTGGATGCCCGTCTCTTTTTTTTTAATGTCTTACAATATATAAGAGATAGAAGCCCCTGACACTACAACCTCGTACCATTTTGAAATAATGGCGGTAATGGAGCCAAAGTTCTCTGCAAGTTCTTTCTTCTTGCACGTTCTTCCTTAGAAGGGATCTCCTGCTGAATATTTTTGTTAAAGTTGAGTTAGGAACGAGTTCATACATACATCCGATATTGTGCTGGGAATATTCGCATATCCGTTCGGTTATTCGCGTATACAGGTAAAATTCAGTTCATTCGAATATTCGGAATATTTAATCCGATCTTCGAATATCCGAACTATTCAGATAGTCAAAAATCCAGATAGAACTTCCAACCCCAATACTAATTATGTTCAGATTTTTTTCTACGACCGCAAAATGTCTTTGAGGGCCGTTTTCTCAAATAGCTTTTAAAATTTATTTGCCCTTTAAAAGCCAATTTGTTTAAAAGACAGACAGATTTTAAAAGCCACTTGAGAAATGGCCCTGAATCTAGGAAATAACGTTAGAAACTAAGTAGCAATGTCAAATAACTTTGACTCAATGCAGAGTGGTCAAGTAACTTCTAATAGACTAAGTGGCATATCCTATAGCTGGATTTACATGAGGCGATTCAACATTACTTAAGAAAAATCGATCATGTAAATAGTGATTAAAAAATCACTTGCCTCAAAGTAGACTGTCTTCGAAGCGCACGCGGTCGTTGTGACGTTTGGAGCTGCTGGTTTTGAGCTCGCAAGCTCTGCGCTATTAGGAAGTGCTAGTAACGCATGCAAATATGTCTGCATGTCGACGTGCGGTGCGGAAGCCAGAACGGCAGAAAAGCTCTACTCTTCGTGTTTAATTCATAAATACATAATAAAATATTTTGTGAACAAAAATCTATTATTGACTTTTCGGCACAAATATAATCGGTCGCCAAATGTTTGTACTTGAAAAAATTCGTATTTTTTTAAATTAAGAATTGGCAAATTTTATTAAAAATTTTTCGAAAAAGTACAAAAATTAATGTATAAGGCTATAAAAATACATCTGAATGCAAAATCAATTTCAATCATCAAGTTGGCAAAGTGATGCCGTGCCGCGATTTATCCAATGCATTTGTGTGCGACTGCAATTGAGTTGCATATACATCACGAAATTGGTGGAGTGACCGGTTGTCGAGAGAACGCCACGCCTTTCGCTAGTCTTGTAAACTGGACAATCGTAGATGACGCGCACTTTGGAATCCTCCTTCGCCGCTTGCGCAGTCTCTTTTAGTGTTGGACGGAAGAATATAACTGGCAATACGTCGAATAATATCTTTGAGTAGGATTCATCTAGCTTTTGTGTTTCACGATTATAGCGCGCGCCTTCCAGGAAGAGGCCCTATTTAAAGGAGATGATGAGAATTTAAATTTATTTGATTTTCATTGTTGAATGTTCTTTATTTAGCATAATTTTTAGTGATTTTTTTGGTTTGAAATAAAAGCGTATAATTTGTATTTTGCAATATCTTACATGAAAAAATTTTGTCTCATCATTGATGGACTGCTGTTCCTGTTTTAAGTATAGATGCAAATTTGTGTGGTAGCATGTGTAATGGGTATATAGTATATAGTTTTAAATAACAATAGCTAAATTATGTAAATAAAAAAATAAGTTACATGTTTAACTTACCCGTATGTATGCGCCAAAGCTTGGTTTACTAGGCACCTCCATTTCATATTTGGTTACTTCAAATTTAATTTCAACCATATCGATTTGGAGCGAATTCTTTCGCGAATAGTTTTGCAGTACGCCAGTTATGAAGGACTGTGTGAAATAAAATCCAGATAGCCAATAGACATTCGGTTCCCCGTCATCTATCCAATGCTGGAAGAATTCCAAACTAGAAAAAGGAAAGGGAAAATGTTTTTAATTTGTGTGACTATAAGTAATTGTAGGAGACTCTACTCTGGATTAATTGAGATGTATTAGTCTTTATCTGGCCTAGGTCGAACAATTATGTGCAGTCAATGAAAATATCCGAAATAACCTACCATTTTTGATCTGTCAGTAAAAACAAGAGAACGAAAACGACACTGAGGATGGCACAACGCCTAACCCGTTTTGTCTCTAAAACCTTTATAATTTCGCTTATAACTGAGGGAAAACGATCCGATTCCCTGGGAGTTCAGATTTACAAGTTTATTTATCTCTAACAATCTCGCTCTACATGCACGTTATATAATCGATACTGACATTATTAAAGGCACCTTTAAAATCAATAAAGGAAGCCATAGTAAATTGTTTGTAGTAAGGCGAGCGGGTGAACCACTTTGTGAAGGGCAGCCTCCATTTACTTCCTCTTTTAGGCAGATGCTTTCAGAGTGCGATAAATTGGACGTACATACTGTCCCTGATATGCAGCATGTTTGGAGTACAAAAACATTAGGTTTTTTTGTTATGAAATCCTTAGCATTATCGTGACCCGGTTGTACCACTTTAGGAAAACATATTTCTTTAAAATTCTTCCCGGAAGAATGATTGGTAATATTTCATACATTCCTGTGGTAATTTAAAGATAAAGAAAACCCAAACATATCAGTTTTCCTCCTTTCTACGTCCAAAAGCTTTTCCAAAGGGTCCTAAGAGAGGTTTGGAATGGAATAAAATTATGTATGGCCTGAAAACCCAACCAAACTGTTTCCATGCACTCAGGTAATATTGCCGATTCTACTTAAGGGCTAGAGAAATGAATAAAAGGACATGTGGGCTGGGAATTCATTGGTCTTCTGCAAAATAATCAGACTATTTTATGAATCTTCGCAATTTGTCGAATCTCATTACATCCGACCCAAAAAATGTACCATCTAAGTTTGGCGAAACAGCCCGTCTGCCGAGCAAGTTGTACACAGTGGATCGCCGGTGATGCCTGTGGTAGCCATATATCTTCCTGCTAGATTGTGCCCCATAATCAGTGCTATCTCGTTATCAGAAGGAATTCTGCTACCACCCTGTCAGGTCTTTTCAGGACACATTTCGTTGCTTTTTAGGTGTCAGCAGTCCTCCAAAGGCTTTTCTGCACCAGCTTTATTAATGAGCTCCTTCATGCACTCGACTGTTCCTGCTATGTTTGGCCCTAAATTTGGCACCGGTCCAATTGGAGGCTCCAAAGAACCGCAGTTCACCAACTCATGAGAGTCTCGGCACGCATACAAGGTCAAGACCCTTCCACCTTGTAACGGAGTTTAGCCTAAATTTGCGTCTAGGGATATTTTTGAATATATGCAAACGCTTTCCAAGGCCCTGAGAGCAGCTGGCTGTTACCTTTCGTCAATTAGCTGGTCTGCTACTCGTAGTATTGCAAAGACTTCCGTTTGAAAGATGGAGTCAGTGGATTATTTAGAGTAGCATATTCCACATCGTTGACCCTACGCCCAGAAAGTGTGTATTCAGGATATGCTAATAACACGATCATTAGTCTAATCTTACTGAACAATAGTTTATCTATTTATCTTTCATTTCAGATATGAAATTCCTTCTGTGCCTTTTTATGAGCGAAATGAAAATTTGTTCATTGCTCGCTTGCCAAGTAGAGATACTTACATGCCTAGAGAAATATGGACATACAGTACAATTTGTGTTGCTAGAAAGTAAAGTTAATACAATTGAGTAGCCTACTACTAACACAGTGCAAACACATACTATACATATGTGCACATATTTACACATGTTTCCTGGCACAGTTACAGCTTTTCTGAAAGCCGCAATACCCAAGTACAAATACTGATACACACAATACACTTTATAAATAAAATATATACATATGTATGAACATTAGGGCGGGTACATTTTTGACTATGCGCTCTTAACATAGCAGGATTCTAAGTGTAAGTCTAAGCAAATTTGTCGAAGAAATCATGGCTCTAAAATCAATTTGGAGTTTGCCAAATTGTGGAAATAGGTCTCGCAGAAAATGTGCACATTTTCACTGTTGCGCCCTCTGGTGGAAAATTTAAGTGAAAAGATAAGAGATAGATTCCTCACATAAAATTTAAGCACATTTTTACGTACAGTAAAATGCTAAGAACCCTATTTTTGCTATTTGGCAAACTCCAAATTGATTTTAGACCAATGGTTTCTTCGGCAAATTTGCGTGGAACTACACGTAGAATCCTTCTGCGCTGTACGCGCGTAGTCTAGAAAAAAAACTCCCATACAGAATGGACCCGCCCTAATGTAAATATATTTTCAATCAGCTTAATGTGCAAATAATTCCACATTGTTCAAAATAAATAAGGTATAGGAACAGCTTATCAAAGTAAAAGGAGGTAAATAAATGTATTAAAAGAAATCAATGAGCAAAAATAGAAAACAAAAATTTTAGAAAATTGCAAAGATATTTGATTTTTTTGTTTGCTTATTTTCTACTTATTGTTGAGTTGAAATTGAAACAGAATTGTTAGCCGTTTGTAAGCTTTTATAATACGTAATAGCTTAAAGTATTACGCAATAAAAAAATAAAAATAAAAAATTAAGAAAAAATCTGATAAATACGTCAGCAATTTATGTTTGCTTAAATTCTTTAATTCTTAAGTTGTCTCAAGTGCAAAATGTGGGTAGAGACAAACATCAAACTTGAGGAGTTGCCAAATCTGTAGCAAACGTTCTGGGAAAGTCTACGCGGGTAAGTTAAAAAAAATATTGTTTTTTTTTTTGTATTTAAATGTATATACGAAAATATTTTAAAACTGTAGTGGCCTCACATCACACTTTGCACATTCACGTCATCCGTTTTGACTGGATTATACAAATAAATTATAGCAAAATTGTAAGCTTAACTTAGAACTGTCAAGAATTGGAATACATCTTTAAGAGGTTTCTAAAAAATACCTACATACATCTAAGCAGACATACATACTTACATACAATTTTTTTTTATTTTCAAAAACATACCTAAGAAATAGCTGAGCATAACAATGCAAGCTCAGCATTATTTATATACCTAGCAATTCTTTTTAGAAGTAACATCTATAAAAATCTCGTTTCCTTAATAATAAAATTAATATATGCGCACATTCAAAACTTATGTATGTATGTACATACATATCTAATGTGTGAACATACACAACTGGGTAGTAATTTGTAGTTTAATAGCACCAGCTATGCATATAAATATTTGCTTTAAATAACTCACCGTGCCAGAAAATCCGTAACATAACTGCCAAGCGGCTTCAGTGATGGGTAGCTTTTCTTTAGCCAATCCGCCGGTAGCTTACCAATCACCATTGACGAATGTGTACGCTCCAATTCGGGTATCATAGCTATTTGACCTTGTATGGCTTTTTGTACGTTGATCAGACTTTTGCGTATATAATCTAGTAAGCGATTGAATCTGGAAGTGGATGGAACAATGCAAAAATAGAAATAGAAAAAATAAAATGAATTTGTAATGAAGTTATTAAAATTAGTAAAGAAGGCTATTGTTGACTTTTATTGTGCCTCCTTGCTTAATTACTTTATTAGTTTAGGCTTCTTTTAAGCATTGTACATTAGGGTGGTTCAAAAATGCATGTAAAAAAGTAAAGTCGGAATTTTTATGCTCTCACCCCCTAGGATTGGTCTTATTGACAAAAAGTATACCCCCTATTTTTTTTTTTAAATCAAAAAATATTTAGAGGTCGCTCAAAGCGATCAAAGTTTTCCATGTATTTTGTATGGGGGAGGAAAAAAAACTTTTCGTGGAAATGATATAGAATTCTTGAAAATCAATATTTTTCGATCGGAAGATCATTTTTAGAAAAAAAATAAAAAAAAAAACAACAAATTCTGAGGATACGTTCACACAGAAAGCCGAGCGGCACCGGTTAAAGCAAGGCGGTGAGAAAGCGAAGCTTCAGATGTTCACACTGAACGAAGCGCGGAGCGAAGCTTTTTGCATGAAATCGGCTGTAAAGATGTCACAAAAGTTAGCGGCTAATATCTTTGTTCAATTTGCTGCAATTGCTTTTTCCAAAAATACGTTGCTAATTAATTATTTAAATTTTTTGTTCGCAACGGCGGCAAGAGGCTGCAAAATCAAAATGAAATTTCAAAATCACAAATTGTTTTGCTTTTAGCTCCAAAACCCTTCTGAAAAAGCTTGCTGCATGAAAACTACCATATACTAGCTACTTTAATTTGAAAGCATCGCTCTATTCGAAACGGCTTCATTCTGCTCGGTCCTGTGTGAACGTAGCCTAAGGCGGTAGAAGTTATAGCTGCTATTTCAGAGATCACTACATCTCCTCATCAGACTTCTTTCTCCAGACTTTAGCGGAGATCGAACTCGCATCATTTTTTTCTTATTTGATTAAGTTTTTTTAATTTGTAGATTTTATTGTTTTTAAAAGAAAAATATTTTTTTAATTTCATACTTTTTTCGTTTTTCCTTTTTTAATTTTATTTGTGGGGTTTAATGTTAAAAAAACATTTCTTTTAAATTTAATATAAGTTATGAAACTCATTGTATTATTTTTTTCTAATAAAACTTTTTTAAATTTAATTTTCTTTTAATTTTTAGAACTTCTTGTGTAAAAAGAAATTCACTTTGATTTAATGTAATTTTTAGGAACTTATTTTATTTGTTTCTTGTTTTTTTTTATTTAGTGGTTGCCTTTTTCAAATAAATTTTCTTTCTATTTTTACATTTTATTGTTTTATAAAGAAAAGAACATTTTCTTTAACCGTAGCCTGAATTTTTTCGTCCTAGGGGCTATGATGGCCGCTATCGCATAAAGAAAATTTAGAGGAAAAAATTATGATTTGCATAAAGAATCACATATCTTCTCTACTATAAAATTTTTTGTGGTGCACATTTAGTTAATAGTTTTTTGAGCCTCAACTTGCTGAAAGATTATCCTGATTCTGAGCTTGTAGTCCATTTTATTTTCTGAATATTTCCATTCACGGTGGCTGCGCGTTTTTTGTGGTAGCTACTCTTTTAAAACCATTTTGTTCAACATAAAACCCAAATAATTTTCGAAAGTGTGTTCTTAATTTTTAAAGATTATAATATCTTACGGAAAACAATCCTGCTCAATAGTTTTCTAAACCAATGATTTTCCAANGGCAATCATGTTTCCTTTACACCCCTTTTACGGCTAAACTGTACTTCTAAGGTATAAACAATTATATATCATTAGAAAGGTATTTTGATGCTGCTGTGCAGGCAATTTTTAAATTTCAAATTAGTTTAAAATAGAGCGAAAAAATCAATTTAAAAGTCACACCAATACATGGTTACACCAGTACACGGTTGGGGCGGAAATGCCCCCTAAATGTATGCTTTAATATTGA